GAGGAGGAGGAGGAGGAGGAGGAGGAGGAGGAGAAGAAGAAGAAGAAGAAGAAGAAGAAGAAGAAGAAGAAGAAGAAGAAGAAGTCACTGCCACAGGAGGTGGTGGCTGCTACAAGCATGGACAGCTTCAAGAGGGAATTAGATAAGCATATGGAGCAGAAGTCCGTCAGTGGCTATTGACCACAAGGTATAGATAGGAACTCTCAGGCTGGGGCAAGCGATGCTCAGCAGTGGGAGGGTTTCTAGTGTCCTGGCCCCACTGCTGGACCTCCTGGTGGCACCTGATATTTTTGGCCGCTTTGTGACAAAGTGTTGGACTTGATGGGCCACTGGCCTGATCCAACATTGGCTTCTCTTATGTTCTTATGTTCTGGGGGGGGGGGTCAGTTCTTTGAGCTTTCTGTTTTCAGACGTCTGACTCTATTGTACTGTACATCGGATGTCTCATCCTGTGGTTTGTCCTTGACTTACACTTCTTCATCTTCTAATTTTCTGCATATTACCCTGCTGTTAAAGATGGATTTGGGGGGTAGCCCTGTTGGTCTGCAGTCAAAGAACTTGATTTCCCTGACCAAAATTGGTTTCAGAAGGATTTTACATCAGTTAAGGCATTACTGTAATGAAGAAGCTCTCGACGTTAAGTATGCAAAGACAAAAGTGATGGGTTTTTTAGGAGAACGCCTAAAATTTCTTGTTGGAGTATTCTTGGTGATTCGGTTAAACCGTGTCGTTATTTTAAATTGGAGTCGCCTTTAAGGAGACACTGAATTGGAAAGCTCAGTGGTAACCAGAGGTCATTTCGGGGGGGTCGCGGGGGGTCGCAGTTCCCCCGGGTGAGGTACGGGGGGTGGGGCACATGATGAAGCTCCGCCCCCCGCTTCCGGCCGCCCCGCTTCCGGCCCTCATTCAGCCAGGAGGAGGCAGGAGAAGAGGGAGGGTAAGTTGCTTCCTCCCTGCCTCTCCCCACCCCTGCCTGCCTGGGACCAGGGAGGGCCTTTGCGGGGCTTCCTTGCACTCCCGCCAGCCTTGCAGGTCCACTGCCGGGCCCCTTATGGGGCTCGGCAGTGGAGCTGCAAGGCCGCCACCGGCGGCCGGGACCGTTGGGGACGGGGGGTGTGGCCTTATGACACACTTCCGGTGATGTCAGGGGTGTGTGGCACATGCTAATGAGTTATGCTAATGAGTTCCCCTAGCTCTTTTTCTACGAAACAACTTCCGGCCCTCATTCAGCCAGGAGGAGGCAGGAGAAGAGGGAGGGTAAGTTGCTTCCTCCCCGCCTCTCCCCACCCCTGCCTGCCTGGGGCCAGGGAGGGCCTTCGCGGGGCTTCCTTGCACTCCTGCCAGCCTTGCAGGTCCACCGCCGGGCCCCTCATGGGGCTCAGCAGTGGAGCTGCAAGGCCAGCGGCGGCAGCCAGGACCGTTGGGGGCGGGGTGTGTGGCCTTATGACACACTTCCGGTGATGTCAGGGGGTGTGGCCTTAAGACACACTTCCGGTTATGTCAGGGGGTGTGGCATATGCTAATGAGTTATGCTAATGAGTTCCCCTAGCTCTTTTTCTACGAAACGACCCCTGGTGGTAACAGTTAAATCCTCAGGGCTAAGGATCATAGGGTCAATTCTATATATACTTTTTTTACACAAGGGGTGGGCGTCTGATAGGTCCAGCATTGGGAGTTATTCCTCACCTCTTATATGGAGCCGAAATCTTGGGATGGAAAGAGGACATCTTATCTGGTCTTGAGGTAATCCAAAATCAACTTGATTAGAGTCCACTAGCGCCTTAGAAGCCAAAAAGATTTTCAGGATATGAAGAGTCTATGTTGTCGGCTTTCATGGCCAGAGTTCATTCGCTGCTGTAGATATTCCGGGCTGTATGGCTGTGGTCTTGGCATTGTAGGACCTGACGCTTCGCCAGCAGCTGTGACTGGCATCCTCAGAGGGATAACACAAAAAGATAGACCTTGACACAGAGAGTACTCCATCTTTCTGTGTTATACCTCTGAGGATGCCAGTCACAGCTACTGGCGAAACGTCAGGTCCTACAATGCCAAGACCACGGCCACACAGCCCGGAAGATCTACAGCAGCTAGTCAAAGCTCTCTTTGTATCTGATGAAGGGAAACTTTGAGTCTCGAAAGCTTATCCCACCAAAAAAGCTTGCTGCTTTCTAAGGCGCTATTGGACTCCAATTTAGTTAAAGACGGAGGATCAGTACCACTACAGTAGGCTCCCCAGTACCTGTGAACGGGATGGTATCTTTCTGCCCCTACAAGTACAGTAGGAGTTGTCCGATTGAAAGAAGAGCATAACCCCTCAGCCACCCTTACGCAAGGCCAGAACAGGCCTCCTTCCACAATGTTTTTTGCACACTCAGAAATTACCAATTGTCATTGCCTCAGGTCGCTTTTGTGGCGCGCAGGACACAGCGACGACAACTGCCGGGTCATTAAATATCTCTGAGCCAGATGAAGGAACGGCAGCGACGGCCAACACAACGCTTGTGCCCGAGCGCCCCAGTCCGGTTTCAGGAGTTAAAACAATGAACCAAGTCCGTCGTTCTATAGAAGTGGATCCTGTTCCTGCCTCTCACTTAACCGTGGAAGGGCATCGCACGTTCCTGGAGTGCACATTCAAAGGCCCATTTAACGTTAACGTCACTTGGAGAAAATCTTGTTCCCCCAACTGCAGCCAGATCATTAACGCGACCAGCAAGAGCAACCCGGACATCTCTATGGAAGTTGGAGATGGATTTTCAAAACTCTACTTCAATCCGGCCAAGATCGGAGATTCCGGCATGTACTATTGCGTTGTGATGTCCTCTGACGACCACGGCCAGTCGTGTGGCACGTACCTCTGGGTCCGGAGTGAGTGCGAACGTTGCGCCCCGTGGCAGATTATTTTGAAAAATAAGCAAAGGAGGTGGCCTGTAAATCGCTAATGCTTGTCAGAATGATCAGGGGGGAATCTCAGTGGACTTCCCAAAGTAGGGTTGCCAAGTGTGAATTCAGCCGCAGTGGGGGATGGTGGCTGGAGTGCGTGCGCGCCGCATCCACGTTGCCCGGAAGTGACGCGGGCACGCCAGACACGCTGGGGGCGGGGCCATGACCATCTGAGGGAAAACCATAAAGTTTTCCCTCGGGTGACCGTGGCCCCGCCCTAGGGTTGCCAAATCGGACTTACCTCGCCGGCGGGGGACTCTGGGGTGGCTCCTGGAGTGTGCGCGCGCGTGCGGAGCATGCACGCGCCGCATGCACATCACGGGGAAGTGACGTCATGATGCCGGGCACGCTGGGGGTGGGGCCACAGCCATTTGAGGGGAAAACATAGAGTTTTCCCT